CAGTGTGGGAGAAAGTACTCAGGGCCTTCAAGTTACACACTATGAAAGGCAGCAACAAGTTTAATGGTTTTTATCAGGTTACAGGACTTTGATTTAGACTCTGGGGTTACCTGCGTCTGTCCACCTGTTCACACATTAATCACAGTGAGCGTCTGAAACCTGAAGTGTGCTTATTATAAGAAGCAGTGAAAGGGTAAAGACGAGGGTGAGTTACCGTGGTAACAGGGTCCCTCTGACACGATGTTGATGGCTCTTTGTTTCTTGCACGCCGCTCTCCTCAGGAAACACTCGTTCTGGTACGTGTCTCCGTTGGAGCCGCACACGGGGACGTACTTCTTATTGCACTGAAACACAAAGTAACTTTAAACGCAGCCGATCACAGCACAGCACACACAGGACTCTGAGCGAGCCTGAAGGTAACACCTCAGTCATGATGCAGGCAGTTGGTGCAGTCATGATTGGTCAGTGCGCTCCAGTCTAACCAAATTCAAAAATCTGTGCACAATGCCAAAAATCGCACAGTTAGCATTAGAGCTGTTAGCTGAAACGTGTCTGCAGCGTGGGCTTGAAAAAGAAGCGTGAGGTACAGAAACTACAGCAGATGAGCAGCATCTGAAATGCTTTTAGGAAACAGGGGCAGCGACACAGCACCAGCAGCCATGTTGGCTCCATTTTCAGCCCAACTTCACGTTTACTCAGAATCTCGTCAGCTGAGACCACTGAGCTCATTCTGTAATGTGCACCCTGCTGTGCAGCTCACAATGATCACGTTTCAGAAGCTTTGATAACATCAGCAGCTGTAACACACACACATAACAAAGCTGTGATTGGTTTCATTCAGCAAGCATTTAATAGCACTGTGGAGACTACGCCTGAGTACTGCAGCCTGTAGGGGGCGCCAAGGTGTAGAAGTGTGTGTGTGTAACTCACATGGAACTGACAGACACACTTGATGTCGGCGCCGTTCTCGCGGCAGGTTCCTCCAAAGCGACACGTCCCGGTGTCACACACGCGCAGGTCGCTTTTCTTCTCTGACAAATCTGGAAAAACAAAGCGGATCATTCTCACATCACACATCGTCCTGAGAGCAGCGACTTCAACT